GCTGATACAGTTCTACAAAGGAATTATTGAGTCTTTCATCTGCACCTCTATGACTGTCTGGTTTGGTTCTGCAACCCAACAAGACAGACACAGACTCCAGAGAGTAATTAGGACTGCAGAAAAAACAATTACTACCAACCTGCCTTCCATTGAGGACCTGTATACTGCATGCATCAAAAAGAGGGATGTGAAAATATTTATAGACCCCTCACATCCTGGACATAAATTGTTTCAACTCCTACCCTCAAAACAACACTATAGAGCACTGCACACCAGAACAACTAGACACAAGGACAGTCCCACCCACCCACCCCCGTCACTCTGCTAAACAAATAATTCCCTCAACACTGTCAATCTATTTACTTAGTCTGCAGTATTATTACTATCACTATTAATCTTCCCATCCTTCCTTTCACCCATCTCCTCCCACTTATGACTGCATGAGCGTAACTTTGTTGCTTGTATCCTTATGATTTTTATTGACTGTTTCGTAGTATGATTTGATTGCTTATTGTACCTTATGATTATTATTAAGTGTTGTATTTGATGATTCTTGACTCTTGATTGCTTATTGCACCCTATGACTATCATTAAGTGTTGTACCTTATGATTCTTGATGAATGTATCTGTTCTTTTTATGTATACCAAGAGCATTTGCACCAAGACAAATTCCTTGTGTATCCAATCACACTTGGCCAATAAAGAATTCTGTTCTGTTCTATTCTATTCTATTCTATTCTATTCTATTCTATTCTATTCTATTCTATTCTATTCTATTCTCAGTGTTCTTCTCCAAGAACAAGAGGATGCCTTCTGACCTGAGGGAGTGGGCTAGCTCATCATTTGGTAACCAAACTTGCTTTAAATGTTTCAGGCACATCAATAGATTTTTCTTCACAACAATATCAAAGTGAGTTTCCATTGTTTTTTCTTCTGGATGTGATTCTGGATTTTGATTTCTTCTACTAGGTGGTCTGACTTCTCTCATGTCTGAAGAGCCAGAGTTGTTTGCATCTCCTTTGTGGGTTCCTCTTAACTTCATTGCATCTCCTTTGATTTCACAGGCATCAATGATGCTAACAGGAGGCTCCCATCACTACCAGGATGCCCAAAAGTGCTTTCCTATACAGAACACTATCGGCCTCTGTATAGTGTTCATCAGAGGAACACAATACAGAAGCCTGATGATGGCAGATAAGATTCTGCCGAAGCGTTGCTACAACTTTAAAAGCACAACTATAATGACGTGGGAAAATACCCGAACAAAGCTGAATACTATATCTATATCTATATCTAATCTCTATCTCTATCTCTATCTCTATCTCTATCTCTATCTCTATCTCTATCTATCTATCTATCTATCTATCTAATGTTTTCTTAAGTTTTCGCGGGTACTTACATTTATGTTCTGTAGAAGCCTGATGATGGCAGATGAGATTCTGCTGAAACGTTGCTACAACTTTAAAAGCACAACTATGACTGGGAAAATACCCGAACAAAGCTGAATAACACACACACACACACACACACACACATATTCTGATAAAGATGCTCCAAACACTCTGTCGTACTAAACAGTTTAATAATACAAAAAAGGAACACAATCATTTAACACTGAAATAATTATCACGTTTCTCCTCTCCCCAGATGAAACTGGAGTTTGTTTCCCATCAGATCAGTCTCCATCACACCCAGTCCACCATGCTACATGCTTTCCTGTGCAGCCTGAAACTGAGCATCGTCATTCCGGGCATTAGAACAGCTACATCTCTGTGTGCTGGGAGACAGGTATACATTCAACAGGTGATCCTTTTGCTGGCAAGAAGCCACAGCAAGGGGGAAGGGAAAGGAGCTGTACCTCGCACCTCAGTTTTGCCTGTCTGCTTGGCAGGTGGTTGTTAGAGTCTTGCCAGAGAAGAGATGGCCCGAAAATAATCAGATTAGTCGACTGGGGGGGGGGGGGGAATCATGTAAACATTAAATGGTTTAGTTCCAAAGGCTATTTTGCGTTCTAGAGTCATCCAGCTGTCATCCCACCAGTCTTGTCGCACCTCGAAGGCTTAACAGATTTTTTACTGTAGGAGGAGAGGAGACATGTGACTTCTTTAAGGCGAATTAATTTAAAAAAAAAAAACCATCACGAATTTAACGGCGGCATTTTACAAGCTAATTTGGCTGGAGCGTAAACTTAGAGCATTGGACCACACCCCACTCAGGAGCCGTGGACTCCGGAGTACTCCGGAGCACGAAGTCCTGGCGAGGGAGCGGGAGGTGGGGTGGGGGTGTGTGTGAAGGTAGGGGGAGGCCTCCCAGGGAGTCCCGAGGATCTCCGGCTGGCGTGATCGCTGCCCCCCCCTCCCCCTTCCGGAGCCCCCTTCCCTTTCGCAAGGCGGTGGGGGAGCGCTAGGACCCCGCTGTTGCCGCTTACCTACTCGCGGACGGTAAGCGGAGGCGGGACAGATAGACCTCAGCAACGCCGGCTCGCTGAAATAAATCCCCGGAGAGAGAGAAAGGCAGCTGGCAGGCGATCCACGAGGCTGAGTGGAGAACGAGCCGGCTCGGCGCTTCCCGCGTTCCGCTCGGCTTGGCGATGGTAAAGTATCCCGCGTCTTTCTCCGCTTCTCCTCCCCGTCCCGTTTCATCTCCCCCCCCCGTCCCACCGTTCGCGAACCCTGGGAGGGAGAGAGGCTCTGCATCCTTCTCCGGGTCTTCCCTTCTTTGCCTTCCCCAGCCGGCATCAATTGCCTTCCACAAGGGAATTTCTGTAGAGATCAAAGAAGCAGGGAGGATGGTAACGGCGGGGGAGGGGGGGTGCGCGCGAAAAGCCCCGCGACGAAGACCTGATTCCAGACCAGCAGCCATTGGGGGCTGAGGAACAGCCGGTGCCCTGAGCTTCTAAGGGTCCGGTGAGTGAGGTCAGTCCGTTGTTTCTTCGAAGCCGAGGGGACCTGATCTGGTTCCAGTCCACTCCAACAGGTGCCGGTCGGAGATTATCCACCTGCCCGCTAAAGCCGGCGTTGTGCAAATAGTGGTCCTTTTACTTAACTGTATTAAGGAAGGCTCTCGACCGCATTTTGTGCCTCAGCATCTGAGGCGAGGAGACCGAAAACCTCCCGAACGATGCCTTGGCCGCTTTAGGGCTTTGGCCAAACGCGCCTCTTGAAGGTGTGACAAGTTGTTTTAAATCTGCTCGGCAAGGCTGCCTGCAGAAGAGCAAAAAGGCTGGCTCAGAAGGACGGGGTTCAGTTGCAAGGATAGTTTGGGGCAGTCTGGGGCTGCTGGTAATGTGGCTGCTATCATTTCCTCGTTAGCCTTTTCTGCAGGCTGTAGTCTCGCAGGGAGATGGTTAGACATCAGTTCCTAGAATTCCCCAGCCACCCATCATCACCCTGTTTGGGAGAAATGTCAAGGCGTTATCAAGAGTCCCAACCAATTTGGAGAACCCTGGATTGGGAGAAGCAACTGTATCCCCGATGGCTTGTACAAAGCAGGCACGATCAAGGTTTGAAGGCAACAGTGCTGTGGTTAATATGAAGTGTCAGAGATTGCGTTTTTCACCACACCAAGGATCTGCCTCAACCACTTGCTTTACATGCACACTGAAGACCACTGAAGGGCCCAAGAAATTGTAATTGCTTAGTTGGTTCAATTGCTCTGATCTAAGACAAGGGAGAACCACGATGCTAAGCATGCCTGTTGCAGTGGGTTGATTCAATCAAACTCCCCTTGGATTAAATAAATTATTGGTGTTTTGAACAGTCCTAATGACCAGTAGATATTAAGAGATAATTCAGTGTCACCCCTTTCATATGGAATATGTCATTTTGTGTATGGGTAAGCTACATTTATCCAGTAGCAAATATTAAGTCAATATCTTGATTCCAACTCTTGGATGAGCCTAATCTCTAGTTGCAGTGTCTGCAAAGGTCCTTGCCTCTAGAGCTTTGGAAATGAGAATGATAAATAAGTGTGCTTCTGGTTAAATGTGCCATCCACACTATGCAGTGTCATTAAAAGAATTGCTACCATAAATTGAATTGTGACTTTCTATCTATGTTTCAATAGACTTATGGATTGCATGTCAAGATTTTCTGGTCAGTGATCAAATCAAATTGTATTCGGGGGTATGGTTGGTATGTCCTACTAGCATATCTTATTATTAAATTATGGAAATGGGGAGGTATAACCACCTCTTTCTACATGCCAAAAGCAAATAGTCATACTCCGCCACAGATCATCTGAAGAAGGGTGGGGGGGGTTGGACGAGATGACCTACAAGGTCCCTTCCAACTCTGATTATCTGTTATTATCTGTATGGTGAAATGCTAGGGTTTTTTTTGCCCATAACTGTGGCTATAGTTGCCAATTTAAAGAAGGAAAACTTAATCCAGAATTTGAAGAAACAGCAGAAGCCTGGTAGAAGATGGGAGAAGATAAGGCTAGCACTGTGTGATCTACATCGGTATTACCAAGCAGTCCTGGGGCTAATGTAAATTAGAAGTGAAGAAAGGGCCCAAGTCTTCATGTGTCATATGCATTTACACCATTTAATTCACTTATAGTTCAATATATTGTTCAAATGAAAAAAAAAAGGTTAATTCAGTATCCAGGTTAAATTAAAAATTATGTAAATGGAATCAAAGATATTTATCTAAAGCAGAGGTCTCCAAACTTGGCAACTTTAAGACGTGCGGACTTCAACTCCCAGAATTCTTCAGCCAGCATAGCTTAAAGTCTTAAAGTTGCCAAGTTTGGGGGACCCCTGATCTAAAGCATCTTATAATACATTCAGCAATCCTGAAAGATAGGTAGTAGGATTGTGAAATAATAACTTGCCTAAGAGTTGAATCCAGGGTTTGAGTCCCTGCTCAACAGTGACATTCTTAAAAATCAGATTATGTGGGCTGTAATCTAACAATCTGAACTCTCTTTCTTCCTGTGGTTTAGAATGCCTGTTGAAGTAGTTCTTGGCTTGGAAACAATCCACGTGAGAGCCACAAATGGAGAATCAATCTTGGGACTTCTTTGAAGCCCTCATGGACAATATCAGCACCAACCAGACTCTTCTGAACAAGATGCCTCAGTTGCCGCTGGAGGTGCAGGTGGTCACTATCTTGCTGGTCCTTCTGATCTGCGGGGTAGGGATTGCAGGCAATATTATGGTAGTCCTGGTGGTTCTTCGCACCAAGCACATGGTGACTCCCACCAACTGCTACCTGGTGAGCCTGGCCATCGCTGACTTGATTGTGCTACTGGCAGCAGGGCTGCCCAACATTTCTGAGGTGGTGGCTTCCTGGGTGTATGGCTACGCTGGCTGTCTCTGCATTACTTACCTGCAGTACTTGGGCATCAACATCTCAGCATGCTCCATCACAGCCTTCACGGTGGAGCGCTACATTGCCATCTGCCACTCCATTAAGGCACAGCTGCTTTGCACCGTAGCCCGGGCCAAACGCATCATCGCTGTCCTATGGCTCTGCACTTCGCTCTACTGTCTCATGTGGTTCTTTTTGGTGGACACCTCGAAAGCCATGTTTGCTGATGGCACTCAAGTCAGCTGTGGCTACCGTGTCTCCAGGAACCTCTATATGCCCATCTACTTCTTAGACTTCACCATATTCTATGTCATCCCCCTGGGCTTGGCCACTATCCTGTACGGTCTCATTGCCCGCATCCTCTTCATGAACCCGCTGCCTGCAACACCTCAGCATGCAAGCCGGATGAGCAAACGCAGCAGCTCTGTCACTACCTCCAGCTCCATGAAGCTCTCTTGCCGGGGAAACAAGGGTGCTTTGAGCTCCAGGAAACAGGTTCTTCTTTTTGCCTATTTTTAGGTCAGGATGCAAATTAGGTGTGTAGATGCAAGGGAGATTAGGAAGCCTTTGCCCAACTAGTCCAGTTTTCTTCCCCTCCTCTTATGAACACCACTCTCTAGGATTTCAGGCAGAGCAATCAACACAATTCATATGAATCTTTCATGGGGTGATAATGATGATGGTAAAGGAGCCTCTACTGCTACTGAGCTATGGTCATTCCTAAACTGTCTTACAGTAAGAACTCTGGTGTCAGATAAAAAAAAAAGTCTAGTATCACTCACTATTTTTCTCAATGGTTGGGAAGCTCAGGTGATTCACCCCAGGTACCAATAATTGATCATTTGGTGCTGTTTAATACAGGTAGTCTTTGACTTACAACCGCAAATGAGCCCACAATTTCTGTTGCTAAGTGAGACATTTGTGAAGTGAGTTTTGCCCCATGAGACCCTCGGTGGTGCAGTGGTTGGAATGCAGTATTGCAGGCTACTTCTGCTGACTGCCAGCTGCCTGCAGTTTAGCAGTTCAAATCTCACCAGGCTCAAGCTTGACTCTGCCTTCCATCCTTCCAAGGTGGGTAAAATGAGGACCCAAATTGTGGGGGCAATATGCTGATTCTGTAAACTGCTTAGAGGGGGCTGTAAAGCACTGTAAAGTGGTATATAAGTCTAAGTGCTAGTGCTATTGCCAGTGCTATTTTATGACCTTGCCATAGTTGTTAAATGAAGCACTGCAGTTTTTAAGTTAGTCACGCAGTTGTTCTGAACCTGCCTTCCCCATTGACTCTGCTTGTCAGAAGGTTGCAAAAGGTGATCACATGACCCAGGGACTCTGCAACCATCATAAATATGAGTCAGTTGCCACGTGCCTGAATTTTGATTACATGACCACAGGGATGCTGCAACAAGTTGTTAAGTATGAAAAATGGTCATAAGTCACTTATTTCATTTATGCCATTGTAACTTCGAATGGTCACTAAATGAACTATTATAAGTCGAGGACTACCTGTATTTCCTTAAATGTAGCTTCACCTTGATGAAGTATGTTGCTGCCTAGTGAAAAGGAGAAGAAGGAAAGCTGCTATGAAATGTGTTGTGCTGTGCCATAGCTGTGAATATTGACCAATAGCAATATTAAAGGAAATGTTAACATTACAAATGTATTGATCCATATCCATTTCTTCCACTATAGAAATGTAGCGCAAACCCCATGTAATCTATAAGCCACTTTCCATTTCAGGACCCAACTGGTGTCTAGTGTTTTCTGAACTTGTTCTGAGTATAACATTAAACAAATAGGTATTTGTTTGACACCAAGAGTCTCCATTCTATCAGAAAAAGCTCTTTGCTTATCTCCTTTGGTCTCCCAATCTTTCTGGAGTGTCTGAGCCAAAAAAGTCTTTCCCATCATCTGGATTTTTAAATTGAGGGTCACCAACAATGAAATTTGGAACTGTTCATTGGCTCAGCTATTGAGCTTGCCTTTGGTGAAAGGTAGGAAATTATGGAGTATTTAATTAAGATATAGTCAGAATATAAAAAAATTATTTGTGGGTGCTGCTATAGAAATAAGTAGGAAAGAGGAATAATAGGAAAGAGGTGGCATGATGGGAAAGAAAAAACAAGAAAAAATACGGAGTATTTAGGGGTCCTAGATATTTGTAGTGAAGGTAAAAATTGTCAGGCAGAATGAGCATTATGCAGCTATTTAACTATATAATTTAAGTTACACCGTTCATTTCATTCTAGAATCTCTTGCAGATGTAACCTAATTTATGTCATCCTTCTAGTCTTTTCAAATAATTTTATATCATACAAGAAACTCAAGCAGGCAAGGATAATTCTTTTCTTTTCCCCAGTTTAATCCTCCCAATCTATCTGCATGGTAGGCTAGGTTGAAAGTAAGAATAACAGATTCAGAGTCACCCAGTAAAAAGAGATTTGTAGATGGATTTTCCCAGCTTTACTCTGCCATTAACTGGTAGAACACACGGACTAGTATTTTCCATAACATATTCAAGGAGTATTGCTGTAACATACTATATGATATTTAATATCTCTCATACTAAAAAGAATGGATCATTACAGATAAATGGGCTTAACATATTCATCAAGCCTGTGTATTTAAGAGAAGTTTCTGACATCAGAGAGCTAGTATCAGTTTGAAATTCTGGGGATGGCAGAATGGCAAATTGGAAAGAGTGGTTTTAAATTGAAATGGGTATCTGCATGACAGCAGCTTCTCCAGACTGGACTCTTTTAGATGTGCTCGATTAGTATTCCCATCAATCCTAACCATTTGTCATATTGGATGGAGCTGGGGTGAGAAATTGTTCAAAGCATCTTGGATGATGTACTTTGCATTACAGGTTTTCGAATGTGAACAAGAACAGATGTTTTATTTTTCTCTTTCTTGGGTAATATCTAAAAATTGGGAAAGAAAAAGTAGAGTTCCAAAGGCCTATTAATAGGAACATCTTGGCATTTGGAAGAGTGGAGCCAAAGCAAAATTATTTGAAAATACTCTAGAGGGCAGTCCCTAAGCTGTGCCAAGTTAGTTGTAGGCATGAGTTACTAAGTGTAGAATTGAATTTCAGTTGCAGCTGCTAAATGCTACCTTTTTCCTATTTATTCATTGGCTGTTGTTATTCTGGACCCGGGCTGTCAAACTCCTGGCCTATGGCTGGATGCATCATACACTGACCATGCCCATGCCTGGTTTAGCAAAGGGGAAAAAAGTCCCGATACATTTTATTTGTTTGTTTGTTTGTTTGTTTTTGTCAATTGCTTACAAAATAATAGGTATAAGTAAAAACATAGTTATGAATACATGGCTACATATAAGAAAAATAAAAAATAAAAATAAAAGAAACAATAGGACAGGGACGGTAGGCACGTTGGTGCACTTATGCACGCCTCCTACAGACCTCTTAGGAAAGGGGTGAGGTCAATAGTAGACAGTCTAAGGTTAAAGTTTTTGGGGTTTGGGGAAGAAACCACAGAGTCAGGTAGAGTATTCCAGACATTGACCACTCTGTTGCTGAAGTCGTATTTCCTGCAATCAAGTTTGGTGCGGTTAACCTTGAGTTTGTATCTATTGTTTGCTCTTGTGTTGTTATGGTTGAAGCTGAAGTATTCATTGACAGGTAAGACATTGCAATGTATGATTTTATATACTATACTTAGATCGGACTGAAGGCGGTGTAGTTCTAGGTTTTCTAAGTCTAGAATTTCGAGTCTGGTGGCATAAGGTATTCTGCAATGAGTAGAAGAGTGGAGAACTCTTCTTGTGAAATATTTCTGGACTTTCTCAACTGTGTTAATATCAGATACATAATGTGGCTTCCAGACTGATGAGCTGTATTCAAGTATTGGTCTAGCAAATGTTTTGTATGCTCTAGTTAGTAGTGTGATATTACCAGAGAAAAAGCTACGTAAGATTAGGTTAACAACTCTTAATGCTTTTTTGGCTATGTAGTTACAGTGGGCTCTAGCACTTAGGTCATTAGAGATGAGTACTCCAAGATCCTTGACAGAGTTTGGATCATCAAGGTCTTGACTATTCAGCCTGAATTTTATTTTCTGATTTTTTTTGCCAAGCATTTATTTCTTGAGATTTGAAGTTACCATTTGTTTGACCATTCTGATACATAGTCAAGGTCTTTTTGAAGGGTAGCAGTATTGTCTGTGGTGTTGAATAGCTTTACATCATCAGCGAAGAGAACGCAGTTGCTCTTAATATGATCACAGAGGTCATTTATGTAGAGTATGAAAAGAGTTGGTCCTAGAACACTGCCTTGGAGGACACCACTGTTGACAGGTACAGAAGTTGATAGGACGCTCCCAATTTTGACCATTTGTTGTCTGTTTGACAGGAATGCTTCTATCCAGTTATGCAGGTGTCCAGAGATACCATAAGATTTTAGTTTTAGGAGTAGTGTGTCGTGTACCACTGAATCAAAGGCTTTACAGAAGTCTATGTAGATTGCGTCTATTGCTTTGCCCTGATTGAGTTGTGTAGTCCATATTTTTTTGCAGTGTAAGAGTTGCAGATTACATGATAGTTTTTTCCTGAAACCAAATTGTTTATTAGAGAGTAAGTTGTTTGTTTCTAAGTGGAGGATGATGGATTGGTTAATAATTGATTCCATGACTTTACAGGTGACGCAGCATAAAGAGATTGGTCTGTAATTTTCAACTAGGCTGGGGTGTCCCTTTTTGAAGATGGGGATGACTGTGGCTTGTGACCATAGTTTTGGCAAGGAGCTGGTCCTGAAAGATTTTTCAAAGTTTATGCTTAGAGGTTCGGCTATGGCAGTGGATAGCTTTTTTAAGAAGTAGGCACATATTCCGTCCAATCCAATAGATAGAGATGGTTTTAGATTGTGTAGTGCTTTTTCAACATTGTCTTCTGTAAAATCGATATGTATCAGATCATTGTAGTTGTGGTTCGACTAGGAAATACTGGGCATGATCCATTGCTGTTTACAAATACTGAGTCAAAGAATGTGTTAAAGAGGTTCGCTTTAATAGTGTCGTCGTTGCAGTCTTTAGGTCCTTTCATGGTGGGGTGGACCTTGAGTTTTTTAGTTTCTTGTTTACAAAATTGTAGAAAGCGCAGGTGGAATTGGTGCATATAAGGTTTTCTTCTTGTTTAATGTGATAATTGGTGCATTCAGTCTTTATCTGGTGGCATAAATTTTTGAATCAGCTTTTGAAGTTGGCAATGTGACCAGATTTGTTTTTCCGCCAAAGTGATCTCTTTTTGGATTGAAGCTTCCTTATTGTTATGGGTAATTTGTTTTTTCTGGTTTTGGGAGTTGTTAATGGTACATATAGTTTGATGACTCTTTTGACTTCAAGTAAAAATATGTTGTAATGGTCTTCTACAGTATTGCATCCAGAGAATAGAAATTGCCAATCAAGGGATGAGAGATCGTTGTTTATAAGATCATAGTTGCCTTTTTTGAAATTATAATTGGGGATTCTGTTGTGATG